TAAAAGCCGTAGGTTTAATATACGACAGAAGTTACACGACAGGGCAGGACACAAGATTAGCGTCGGATGGGAACAGCGGAGCGCGGTTCGGCCGCCTCTGCAGTCCGGCAAATTTATGTTCCACTGGCACGGGGAAATCATGGACAAAGAGCGAGCAAGCAACTTTCACCCAAATGCATGATACGATACTTTAACTTTTATGCTGTTTTAATAAAATATGTGGCAAATAAAAACTGATGGACAGGCTTATTATCATTTGCGTTTTAACCGCGAGCCCTATCATCAAAAATTATTTTTAATTTGCATTATCCGCTGGGTACTATTATTCTAAAATTTTATCATCAATAACTGCGTCAAAGTAGACACACACAGTTTACGACTCGTACAGTGTCATTGCATTATCCACGTCTTATAATTCCTGAGGTTAAGATACGTAAACATATTTTGCCGCAGTAGTTAACATTTTCACTAAAGAACACTTCCCTCTACGGAAATGCCTGAACAGTATCTTTAAACAAACTACAGCCGCTCCCTTGTAAACTGTTGCTCGCTCACACACCATCAAAGACTCTGTCAACATCCCATTGAACCTCCATAGCCAATGCAGCAGAAACGAACTCTGGAGGTTTTTCATGCGGTGTCCCAAAGCTTACGGCGAAAGTTCACGGTTTGGATATTTTGTCAAATAATTTTTTTAATTTCGTTTGTAGTCGTGAGTCAGACAAGAACCATTCACAAATAGAGAAATGGAATTAACATAAATTCATCTCTCCCCCGTTTCTGTTATCATTTACGACTGTAGTTTCACGGATGGACAAGCATGAACAGAATTCCGAAAACGCTTTCTTCTAAGAATCTAAAGAGAAGAGTTTTCATTAAACAGCAACGTAATGCTCAGAATAAGAGTTATTCTAAAGTATCAGAAAAAAACTCTGCATCGAACAATTAAATAACATGTTCACTTTAACTTCCTTCCTTCATCAAAACTTTTCGTGGGTCGGCGTTCGGACGTGGCAAAAAAATGATGAACTTCCTAGAGAAGAAAAAAAACCTCTCCCTAGAGACTGCTTCGCCGCCTTCAGAATGGCTCTCAAGAAAATCGTTCTCCAAAGGACGATAATTACGAAAGATTTTCGTCGCGGACACAGCCATAAAGAAAGAATTGTGAGAGAGTAAATTGATTACACGTTGCGTTAAAATGTAGTGTCTAATCGAAGAAATAAATTGTGAATTATATTGCATAAACACATAAAAATCACCCAATGTTTGACTCCCTCCTGTTACTATTTAGAATAACTAGCAATCACACTATAAAGTAATAACACAGCTCAGTCTACATATAGCCTTGACGACGTGGGTTCGAATACTAGAAGTCATTCTTATCTTGACACCACGATTAGACTCGCTCTGGAGTCCAAATAGCTCAGTGGGTACCGGGAGTAGTTTTGTCACGTCAGAGGCAAAGCGGCCGAAACTTGAATCTTACCACTCACCTGCAGGTTAAGAATGCGTGGCTCTCAACCCCCGAATATACCACGGCGTATAAATTTGGCAAGGACACGTAACTCATTTCTTAATAAAACATCAGCTGACTTCTTCCTTCCGTAAGAAATTTGGAATCCGTGCACGGATGGAAAAAAAATACATTTTTCAAAAATTGATAAAAATTGGTACTTTAACAAAGAAATGAAGCATTGCGTGAGACTACTACATAAATAGACGAATGATTAAGAAAAACGTCCGATTCCTGTGACGTAATCCGACAAAAGAAACAAAGAATCAAAAGCCTCTAATTATTTGTAACTTATTTGTAGTGTTCTGTCTGACGACAGGTCCATATATTATGAACAGGATCCTTCAAACCTCTTCAGGTTGTCAGGGACCTGCTCATACATATATACATTCTTGGCAGAGATGATCCAGAAGTGGTTTGCCATTGCCTTCTTCTGTGTGTGAGTGGAGTAATTGTTGGGATGCCACGGAGAAACCGGGGAAGCCCCCGGAGGAAAACTCCGTGTTGCCTAGACCACGGCCTTGCCCAACACAAGTTATAAATTTGAGCACCACCGGGAATAGAACCCGGGACCCCAGGATTACAAGTCATAACTATGTTCTTCACAACTTATGTGAGTTTAATTTAAATCCGATTAGTATTTCATTTTTACCACATTTCTCAAAAAAAATCCTTTCTCCGAGGTCCAGATACAAGAGACCGTTTTTTTTTCGGATAAAAATTTTGACGGACAATTTTATGGGAATTTTTTTTATTTCCTTCACAGATTAAAGCGGAAAATTTTCCCAGAGAATTATTTCTGGGAAATTCTCGTAAAAACAGAATCATTTAACCAAGCCAATAAAATACAGAGTGTAAAAATTGTTTTAACAGTGTTTAAGCTGTTAGATTATTTTTAGTACAAACTGTTACAGCGAAGTGAGTCAGATTCCCAACCGAAAACTTAGGAGAGCGAAAAAAATTGGAATTTTATCCAAACTCCTGTCACTCTATTCGTTCCAAATAATTAATTAAGCATCCTTTTCTCAAATACACTCAGTTTGTTTTTTCTCTCTTAACGTGGAGACCAAGTTTCAGACCGATACACAAAAAGGTAAAATTATATACATATATATAATATTCCGTAATCTTTGTATTTCTAGACAAAACACGGAAAGAGAAACTATTTTTTTCTTCCCATAAACGCGAGAAATTAAGGTTCACGCCCTTATAAAACAGGTGAAATTATAATTTTTTTCGTATTGAATCTTTACGCACTCAGATGACATGCGCACAGACCGTAGATCCTTAACCGCATGGTAGCTGGCATTCCCCGAATTTAATCTTCCCTCAATTTCCGTGCGAATGTAATTTCGATATGTCACCGTCGTTCTCAGATATCTGAATACACGTTCAAACGATGTATTAACAACCTTCATGAAATGAGTCTGGGGACGACGAGACATGAAAACACAAGTTCCTTAGTTACCTCCACGTCTGATCCAGACGAACTTACCAACAGAGCCTCTGTTTATCATGATTATATTGACGTTTGCTGCTTAAAATCAATACATTTGCCACCAAGTCTGTAACAGAATCGAAGGTACCTGACAGATTTCGATCAAACTTAGTGAAGTTATATTATGCAATAGCTAAGGTCAGTCGCCGTTTTCTCATAGCGGAGGCCCCGGATCGCGCCCTGGTTTAGTCCAGGCAAGATTTATGGTGGAAAAATTCAACACATGCATACTTCATATTTGCCTGATGTATCGTGTGAGGGTTGGACAAAGGGTCCGTTAGCGGCCCAGTTATACAGGTATATAGTCTCACCCCATCGCAGCTTCACAAATGCGGTGGGCCTACATTAATTGTTGTAAAGTCATTTTTTTAAATAAAAGTAGAAAAGTTTAAGTCCAAAATTCATTTTTACATTCCTTTCATTTATTTTATCAGATATTCATGAACCTGCACTCAAATTTTATTAACATTTACCCTTTAAAGTTTAAAGGCAGAATTAATTCCCAGCGTTAAAAATAATTTTGTTGTTGTGTTTACGTCGTGTTTTCCATGACAGAAGGAACCCACGTACTTTAAAATTCAGATATTAATAATTTGGACTAGAAAGTGTTACCGAGCACAAATTTCATTCATTATAAATTATTTTAAGCGGCCAATTACATCCTTGGGTAAAAATAAACATGTCCTTGACAGCATTTTCGTGAATATTCGCGTAATACAGTACTGCTGTTATGTAGAATTTAACATGGCATAAATCAATTGTGCGATCACGTGACAACGGAAACTTTGTAATTGATACAGTTCCACTAATACCGTCACATGAAGCACGGCGCCATGTTGTGAACGTATAGTCGGTCGTAGGAAACATGAACGTACTTAGAATTTTTTGTAAATTGGCCGACTATATTGAGGACGAGCCATAGCAACATTTATATAAATGTAAGAAAATGGGTTGTCAGGATGTATCCAACGGTGTCGCGTTGAACGTCTAAGTCCTGTCACAATTAGAAACCGAGGAATGGAAGGAACGACAAAAAGAAGAGCATGACATCTTCTCTTTCCTTCTTTCTTTCTTCATTTATTCTTCTCTCTTTCTTTCCTTCGTTGATGAAGAAATATCAGAGGAGACAGGAATAACGAGAGAGAAAAGGCAACAGTGGATCTACATAAATTAGAGATGATCCTTCGAGACAGCTTCCAATGTAAACTGAGATTTCTATGTTCCTCCTTCACTAATCATTATTTTCAGTAGGATACAGAATTGGCTGAGAAATGTACATTAAGAAATGTCGCTGAAGACAGTGTAAGAGAAGGGTTCTATTAATCACGAGTACGCTACGTCACACAATAGCAAACAGCAAGACGCAGGCAGGATCTTCTCTGAAGCGTCTGTATTTATCTGTCAATCAAGGATTTCTCCGCATTTATGGAACCGTAAGGTGCATTACCGTCTTCAGAAATACTACCAATGGTCATTTCTGAGCCAGCTGAATCAATCTCGTACCATAATACTTTGTAATGCATGTAGAATCCACCCATCTGCGCAAATAACTATCCTTTCCTTCAGGATTTTGTTGTTTGTAACCATCAAAATAATAAAGAACTTGTTCATATGTCTGATAAGAATATTTCACCATCAATATTAGGATATTAAAATGCATGCGTTTGAAGTCCTCGAATGACAAAACATTATATACCACGTCTCACGGTTATTGGTTACCAGGTTCTGAAGTTGAATGAAGTCGGTAAAACACACGTAAACACAGTAACACACGCTAAAATTTCAAAAATTTTGTAATGTGGTCGACGTCGAAGATATTACGGCCACGCTAAAATTTCAAAAATTTTGTAATCCGGTCGACGTCGAAGATATTACGGAGTCGAATTACAACGATCGACATATTTCTGTC